TTTTGAAACCACTGAAATATGATGAAATAGTTAACATGCTGAAATAATACATAAATGATTAAAAAGAAGAACAACAGAATAAAAAAAAAAAAACCCCACTGAGTGAGTTCTTCTGTTTTCAGAAGACGAATAGGGCACCCCATATGGTCCTTGAGGGCCCCTTGAAGCCCGCGGGCACCGCGTTGGTGACCCCTGATCTAGAGACTATTAATAACAGGAGGTGAAACGCAGCTCCACATGAGCCGAGCGTGTGGTGACGTCACGAGGACGCTTCTGTTCCAATTGACCCATATTTATGCAGTATGCTGCCATTATCCCCAAGTCTATACTTCCTGTGTTCTTCACAAGAACATATTTGGCGAGATCACGACTCCGTGCTCGCGTTATTGTAAATTGAGAAACGGTCCAAGCCTCAGTTTCCTTCATATATACCAGCATTTACTACAGTAATATAGCCTCCTGCCAGGCCACTCTTTACAGAAACATCAGGCAGCCAACATTTCAACATTTGACACGAAATATCACTTCAAGGCAATGCCACTTATGAGATGGATGGAGGCGAAGGTCAGGCGTTGGTTTTCAAAGATTCATCTTTATTAGGCTCCGACACAGGAAAGCTAGTGCTGGAAATAATTATTGTTTATAGAAAGTATTTTCCTCCATGTTAAACTTTATGCTCACCTTCAATCAATTAATCCTTTGTCTGTGGATCATTGATTGTGGATTATTTCTTCTCTTTAGTCACATATTCAGTTGCCTGTGATAAAATGTTTTTCCATTGTTAAAACTACTGATGGATCAGAATTAAGTAATTTGTATTTATCAAGAAAACAAGCTTTAATCTTTCTAAATGTCCACAGAAACAGGATCAGCATTCTTCCATTTTAGTGTTTTGATGAATGAGTGGACATGACCTAAAATTAAGTTTCTGTACAATATTTATTTTTCATTATTGTTATCTGGTTTCGAAAAAAAAAAACACTTTGACTTCATTGTATTTTAGGTTTTCACACTATTATAAATGTGCCGTTTTATCTCTAGTAGTCTAAAAATCTCAAAACGCGCTACTAACAAGTGCTTTCTGCTATGTAAAGAGAAGATTATATTTTCTTTTTCTTTTTCATGTCCAGGTCCAGAATGCATCAAATCTCCTCATCAGGCCCTTAGAGAAGTTCAGAAAAGAACAAATAGGAGCAACAAAAGTGAGTACTGTCATGAATTCCTTTTTTATGTCAAACAAAGTGGGTATTATTTATAAAAATGTGCTTCTGCACATTTTTATTCAGATGCATTTCTTGTCATTGTGAACCAACATCGCATAAATATAGACCCTTTCTGAGCTACTTCCACTTCTATGGTGTCTTAGGTTACTTCCTCAAAATGTTACAATATATACACCCAGTCTGTGAACATGTTCTATGTAAAGCTTTGGTGCTTATTAGAATGGTGGGTTAAAAAATGTTTTAAAAGTAAAAAAAAAAAGGTCATAGTGTAAATATAATTTGTATTAAAAATGCGCTTGCTTTTAAACATGACGTTATGATAAGCTTTTTTTTTTTTATTTCCACACATTTATTTCTTACATACTTTGATTAAAAAAATATACCTTAATGATGTATTTTAGGATTTGAGAGAAACTTGTTTGGAAACTTGGCTGATTTTAGAAAGACATTTGAACCTGATCAAAAACAGGATGCAATAACAAGTGAGCCCAAACTAGACAGTAATGCAAGTCTGTTAATGTATGAGATTTTGTGCCTGACACCGGGCTTTCTCAGATGACTGGTATGCCGTGCTGTTGGTAAAATGCTGATCTAATGTTCTAACCAGACAGAACTGCAGCTCCACCAGAAGCAATTCCTCTTTAAAAGGCTTCCTCTCTCACATATTTGCTTCTAAAACCCCAGACATAAAGTTACAAAATCAACTAACCTCTTCGGTTCTTTGAGTTTTGATGACACATTTGTTTTTTGAGGAGACATCTGAAATTATGAGCTTTCACTTAAGGCGACGACTAAGTACAAATACTTTGGATGTTCTACTTGTCAGGGACACTGAACAGCCCATAAAACCTGCTCATCAACTTCTAAGCTTAGGAATGACGTACTGTGCCGCACCCTAGAGAGATTTAAAAGTTAAAGATCTGCTGGTTTAAATGTTTACACTCTATATGAACAACTATTTTTTTAACAAAATCCAGTCTTTGAGTTTGCAGCAATCCGACACATTGTGCATATATTTAATGACAAAAGAAAGGAATGACTCCCCTTTAATAGGGAGGAACCTTAAATTGGGCCACGACTTCCTAAACTTCAGCCAGCTCCTTTCTGTCCTGTCTCTCGTTATTGGACAGACTGATTAATCCAGGTGAGTCTGGCCAATATTGTCATGGTTACTGAGGTCCAAGGGAACAGGAAAGCAGTCATTGCTATGGTTACATATTGATGCCCCATGTGCTTGGCTGTAGCTCTGTGTTGCAGGTTGACGCCACATCAAACAATTGCTCCTTTACGTCAAAAGAAATATTTCATAGAGTATCTTCACGTTTGGAATTATTATGTCTTTTTTTTTTTTTCCTAACGTTTGATTTTCTATTGGTGGGACAAAAATGCAGCAAACCAGCCGAAAGTACATTTGAATTTGTGTGATTCTGTGCAGGCGCAGACTAGCTATTTGAGGGCTGAACGGTCCACTCACCCTACCCACTGCGTGGTTTGGGACAGCCCTTGATGTATCGAACCCTCAGCGGGAAAACACAAACGGAGGGTTAATGCTTAGGCGAAGTGTTTGCGGATTGGTCTGGGATTAGGCCTTGGTTTTAGAAGACAGAGAAGACACATAGAAGCACTGATCCAGGAATGCTTTTAATAGCTGAGCTAGCTCACCTGAAGGCCTTCCTCTTGAAGGTATATTGGCTAAACAGAAATGCCAAACTTTAAAAGAACAAACAAGAACACATAGTTAATGCAAAAGCAGCTATAAGTGATGCACATTTGGAGAGTAGCTAGAGTGTTGCAGAGTGAGGGGAAAAAATGTCTTTATGTCCTCCAGCAGAGTAAGCATATAACAGCATAACTGCAGAGATAAGAGCCACTCTATGACATATATAAAAAAAAACACATTGAAGACCTTTTGAAAAAGGTGTTTTTCTGTGCTAACATGTGTAGAATAGCTTGTTACTCTTCATACACTAACCCATTTGAGCTTTTTACACTGTACCACAGAAAATATGCTGAATTTTCAAGTTTTAAACTTTTTATCCTTGAAACAAAACATGTTTTTAAGTGTCAGTGATAGCAAGTAACTGGGCATATTACCTGTTATGTCAATTCAAACATTTTGCCATAGGTTGTTGTTAGTTGAGCATTTTTACAGAAATGGTTTACATCACAATCACCCACTCTTCTTTTTGAAGTTTCCTTTTATTAACTGGAATCTGTAAGATGCTGACTGTATTCAATGCTTTAAATGAAGTTTAGATCTAAATAGACTTTTTGTATTTTGCTTTAACAAATGTTTTAAACCTACAAAATACTACTATAATAATATGTTTTCATGATTTTTTTATTCTACAGTGGGACTTTATACTTGATAGTTCTCTTTTTTTTTTTTATTTCTATTGAGGTCTTAATGTGCTGAATATCCTATAATCTTACTTACAACATTTGATGTTGTTTTGCTCATAAATCTTACAGGAAAAGAGAAAGAAGTTTGAGAAAGAAAGTGAAAAATACTACTCCCTGCTAGATAAACATTTGAGCATTTCTGCGAAGAAGAAGGAGAGTCAGCTTCAAGAGGTGGGTGAAGTTGTTTTTAGTTCTTTATGGAAATGTGAATCTTATTGGGACAGTGTTTTGGTCAGCCAGATAAACAACGCTCTCTGTTTTCACTGAAGGCCGATGAACTCCTCGACAGTCAGAGGGTGAATTTCTATGAATCATCAGTGGAGTACGTATATCAGATCCACCAAGTTCAGGACAGGAAGAAGTTTGATGTTGTGGAGCCGGTGAGTGCTCTGAGTGGTTTCCCACTCTTCCTCTTTGTCACCACACACACGGGGAAGATGGTCTTTGATTTACCTCCACGGTCGTACTTTCAGCCGCAGTCTGAAAATATGTTTCATTCTCTGGTCTGACAGGTGCTGGCCTTCCTTCACAGCGTTTTAACTCTCAACAACCTGACAGTGGAGATGACTCAGGACTTTATGCCTTACAAGCAGGAGCTGCAGCTCAGCTTGCAGAATGTAAGTGGTGTATCCGGCCATTATTGGGGTTTTTAATTTCTTCTAACTTGATTTCACTTAGTGCTTTTTTTTTTTTTTTGCTTGCAGACCAGAAACCATTATGAGAGCACCTGCGAGGAGCTGGAAGAGCTGATGAAGAGGATGAAGCATCCATCTCAAATCTCAAAGATGCAAAGTTTCGTGCCGATGGAGGGTTATTTATACTGTCAGGAGAAGCGTATGTATAAAAGATAAAAAATGCTTAGCTTTTTCATATTTAAACAACAAACTTGAATGTGTTTAATTGAATTTAACAGGAAAAAGTACTAGTCTCGCATTTATTCTCATGCCCATAAACCAATCGCATGCCAGCAAATATTTTAAAGGTTCTCTCTAAGTAATTCAACAAAATAACTCCACAGAAAACGGCATCATGAGGAGGTGGTCAAGGATGATCCAAGCTCTGAACATCTCAGGATAGCCCAACAAGCCATCATTCAAAAACAGAGACTCTATTAAGATTAGCAGAGATCCACAGTTAAGTTCTGGAAATTTGTTGACCAGACGACTAAAAAAAAACAAAAAATAGTAGCTTCATCCAGATGTGTGGTACACTTTTCAGATTGTATGCAATTTTTAAAACCTCACAATGTTGGTCTAACTTCAAAAATTCCACTTGCATTCATCCATGTTTGTGGTTGTACCATGAGGAAATGTGAAAGTTAAATTGACTTATAAATACTTAATTTTAGGAATGCAACTAACGATTATTTTGCAAATAGTTGAATCTGTCAATTATTTTTTCGATTAATCGATTATTAATCGGATGGCCTAACATCTATCTTAAAGAAGATTATTTACAAAATTAAACCAGGCGAAACTAAACCATTCCACTTGAGGAGTTCTGGTTAGAGCATATTGACAGACGGAAAAGTTTTTCTTTTTATCTTTAATGCCAAATGTTTATATATTGTATTACAAATTTGGTATATTTACTGCTCTAAGTGGGTTGGTCTGTCAGCTAAAAGCATGTTTTAAAGTCTCTATGCTCCCGTTAATGAATAATCGATTACTAAATTAGTTACCAATTAAATCAACAATCAATTTATGATGTCTAATTAATTGTTTCAGCCCTATTTCATTTGTCTGTGTGTATATATATATATATATATATATATATATATATATATACATCATTTATATTTGTGTTTTAAATATAAGTAGAACTCTTTATTATTTTTTTTTCCTTCACACCAGGGGCTTTGGGTGCATCATGGGTAAAATATTTTTGCACATACCATAAGGAGGGAAGAAGGCTGAAGATGGTGCCGTGTGAACAGAAGCCTGCGACAAAACAGGTGCTTTATCACTAAAAACTTGCAAAAAGTGATTCTTTGTCTGCACTAGTGCTGAGGACTCCGTCACCAACAGCTTCTCCAACTTCTCTCTTTCCCTACAGGCCCCGACGGTTCTCACTCTGAAATCCTGCATCCGCCGCAAGTCGGACTCCATAGACAAGCGCTTCTGCTTTGACGTTGATGCCGTCGAGAGGTTAGTGCAGACACGACCTGACGAGGCAACGCGAGGGCCTTGTGGGATAAACAGGTTGAGGCAGCGAGGTGAACAGGTGGTTTGCAAGGACAGATTGTGAAGGCTAAATGGACTGTAGCCCAAACAATCCCTGAGCAACGAGCTGGCGTTGGAAACAGATGGCAAACTTACTGATTGCAAGGGGGGGGTGAGGAACACAGCAAGCTCATATTTATATAAGCAGGCCATTTGGAACAAAATGCATTTTAATAACTGCTGTAGCTATGAGCTTCATTGTCACCTCGCAGGCCTTTTTAGGTCTTGAAATCGGTGGAAATACTTAAATGCCAGCGTCGTTTTCTACGTTTTAAACTGAGCATGAATTATGCACTAAGAGATGAATTGAACATTTCTGGTAGTCGGCTGCTCGGTAAACTCAAGGTGGCAGTGCTGTGTAATGTAGAAAGAAACAAGCCTTTTAAAGAAAAGGACAAAACATGCCTAAATGTTTCTGAAATGCTCCTGGGTTTAAAGCAGATATTCTACTGAATGTGAATAAAAGACAAAGGTGAATCCATCTTTTTTTTTAATATCTAACATATTCCATGTACAGTATACAACAATGGCATTCATTTAACTCTGAGAGTTGATTGCATCATAAATGTATTCAATGGTTTGTGGAGGATTTTAGCTCGCCAGAGGAAGCTTTCATCTCATTGCACAGTTGTCTTTGTTAACAATTGATCCACCTGCCTGTAAGCTGTGAAACCTGGAACTCGATGGCGTTTTCTACAACTGTCGTTCTAATGAGTTTGAATTATTACTCACTGTCATCTCCTTTAGCTTCCAGGATGCAGTCTGATAAATCAAAGACGCTTCCTCCCGGGGTGTTCTTATCCATTTTATTTTTCCATCTACTCCACTTGGCTTTACCAGAATGAGTGCGATGTGTGAATTTAAAAGGACGGCTCATAGTGGTTGGCTGCTGTTGAAAGTGCATCGTTTTAGCTGAATAATTAAATTGCAACCTTTTGCCTTCCTAATGGCTCTTGTTACTGTTTCCACAGAAACGGTCCCGTCACTTTCCAGGCCCTTTCGGAGGGGGACAGGAAGTTGTGGATGGAGGCCATGGATGGAAAAGAGCCTGTGAGTTTGTGCTGCTTGTTTGGAATCTGTTCTGCTGTGATTTTTATTTAAAAAAAAAAACATTAAACAACTTTGATTGGCAGTGATTTTATGCATGCTTACAAGTATGCATGCAGGTACGGAAACAAACACACATCCTCGTTAGTATGTGATTAGATTTTACTTGCTTTTTATAACAAAAAGATTACAGTTACTGACAGTTTTTATAAATCTTTTCACTATTTTCCTTAATCAATATGTCCTCACCACTCTGGACAAGGATAAGCATAACTGGCTCAGGAAAAAAATCCCCAAACTTCTTTTAAAGGGCAAAGAAAATCTATCCCACATATCAGATGTATTAATCCTTATGTGAAATAGGAAAGTGTTATTGATTATTGCAGGGAGTACTTAACGATTTCTATCTAATTGATAATGAGATAAGAACTGTGATTTAATTATTCGAAGGACTCTGCTTCCCAGCATTGCAGTGAAGTAGCTTCATCTTTGTCCGTTCTGACTCTGTCCATGTGGGAAGATGTAAAGTTGACTTTGGAGCTTGGATTTCATTTTGGCTACCTTAAGCCTTGATGGTTCCCAGGTTGATTCTAAATATGCTCAAAAGTTTCCTTTTTTTTTTCCTTGAGATTACAGTTCTGGTCAGATTGGTTTAAACTTGGATATATTTTGGTGTTTCAGTACGAAAAATGTTCTCGAAGACACATAAAATAAACGGTTTTAGAACCATTATTGTAGGTTTCTGCAATGCTCTTTCCAAACCCTGCTAAGAATTTATGTGCTTTGTTAAAAAGCCCATTCTGTCCTGGGAAGCAAACCAATAAGTTCAGAATCACATGTTGGAGGTAAAAAAAAAATCAATTAACAAGGGTTTGTTTTAGTTTAAACCTGTAAGGATAATTTTAAACCTCCCTAAATTTTCACTGACATCAGTGATTATTTATATCCCCCTAGAAAAAGAGCAATCACATCATTAAAAGCATTTATATGAATGTGACTTCATGCTGGGCATAAGTGTACTGTGCTGTAACTTCTATAAATCAAGCACAACTATACCTTGAGACAATTCTAATGAAAACAGATTACTTTTGAGGATGTTTAAAATGTAAATAATTAAAATTAGGGTTGGAAAATATGGCCAGAACGTAGGTTACATTTCTTTATTACAATAAAGCTTTTTAGAAATATTATATATTTAGAAACTACATAGAAAAACAGAATTTCATTCAATGACAAATACTGTAATCATAGACGTTGATGTATATTGAGATACCAGAAATGTCATGTCACAGGTATTTAATATAAAGTGTATATATATTGATTCTGAATTAAGCATCCACCCGTTTATCATCTATGGGCTTTGATCACAGATATCAGACAAGACAAACATGGCAGAATGCCCCAGGAAGGAGAAGAGTAAGGGCCCCTTTTCAATCACAAATATAAATTTATGTTCATGCTTGTCAAACAAAGTTACTCTCAGTGGGATCTAAACTGTTGAATTTAATATAAGTTGAAGTTATTTTGAATATATATCCTATAATAAATTCATAACAGTTTTTCAAAGTCTAATGTCTGTTGCAATTGACTCAGAAGTTGGGCGAGTGTTGCTAACACTCATATAACACTTCCAACTTTTATAGTACTGGCAATGCAGAGTTGGGACAAAATCTTGCCCAGTTTTTGATGGTGAAGCTATATGACGAAGCAATAGGCAGTGCTAACCGGTGCTGATCATCAATCTCAGGATCAATTTGATGGAACAAATTGATCCTGAGAATAATCACACAAGCATGATGTGTAATAATTCTGTCAAGTCCCTGGATGTTGTGAATGTGTTATGAATTGGGCCTATATAGATAAACTAAATCAGATGCTTTTGACATGGCTGTGGCCAATTGTTGGTTGGGGTACATGCTGGACACCAAGAGGGCAAACATCAAGATGAATTTAGCCCAATATCTGATGGGAGTCCATAAAACTGTGGAAGACCCATGAAGTCTTCAGAACCACAGCATGTGCCCTGCAGACCAGTTCATAGACCAGTTTAGGACGCAAGGCCTGCACCTGAAGTGCATTATGACAAGGATGCAAATCTGTACAAGAAAAGGAGAAGTCTTGTGATAAGGGTAACATCTAACTGTGCTTTGTGCCACACTGCTGTTCATCGAAAAAATGACAATAAATGAAAACATTCCCAGGCTAATCTCTTTCAATTACAAGTCCCAGGTGAATCCCAGGTGAATTCATTAGCCTGCTATAAAAACTAGAGTTAAAAGTTGGAACTTCCATGGGAATGTTTATTAAAGGCAAAACTGACATTTTCAGGTATTTCTCAAATACAATCATACATCTATTGCGTTCATCTATATGTCCAGATTGTACTATAACATTTGCCTTTCTTGTTGCAAAATCATCCTAACCCTCAATGTGATGCACCTATGAAGTGCATGAGAGACTGAAAAGCATGCAAAAATCCAGTTCAAGATGTTTATATCAAACCTGATTAATTACTATATGGAAAAATCTCAGCCTAATCTCTTTATTGCATTTTATGCCCGTCTTGTTGTGGCCTCCATTGGAATGGAAAAAAAAAGTTTTGTTCTTTTTTAAGTTTGTTTCAATGTTGGAGTCGGAACCAGCTGAAAACAGTTTTTGGCCAAGCAGAAAAAACGTTGGTCTGAAGGGGTTAAGCCAAATATTTTTGGTTTTAATGGAGCAAATCCTGCAGAAGCTGCCTGTATTCTGGGTCTCAGAGGAGATGTCTTGGGATTATATTTCTTGAAGCAGAAGATTTCCTTCAGTTTTGCAACTTCTGAGAAGAGTCTTATTTTGCCAGATCTGTCTGTTATTATTTGTTATTATTACAAAGACAAATAGAGGATGTGAAAATTACACACGACACGTTTTTTTAGTTCCTTCTTCCTGTGTAACTTCCCTGTCAGAGTCATCAAACTTTTAAAGACAGCTCATGAAGTTTATCCCAAAAAAACCAAGAGTAATTGCATTCTATTGCCAAGCAAACTATAATCATAAAGACGCTGTGAGGTCTGAATAAGGATCTTAAGAAAAAGGAGTATAGTTAGAGTTGTGGTCGCAGGAGCAATAAGCAACATAAGAATCAAAGTAAGATCAAAATGCAAATCATTTCTTGTATAGAGTTATAAACCAAACCAAAGAGGTGCATCTCCACAGCGGAAACAAGACTTTAAGTTTCTGACAGAAAGCTGATTTGTTAGGGACATTTTGAAAATATAAAACTCTGCATGTTTTCTGAAGAAATTCTAGAATGGCGAGTCAAGCTGTGTAATAAAACATGAGGAACATGCTCTCTCCTCAGAGTCCCAGTGGAAAGCCTTGTGACATTTTGTACGACCTGTAGGCATGCTAAGGAGTGGAGATCAACTGATAGCTTTTTTAGCTTTTATTTCCAAGGCCGATACAGATTATTTTGACATGAGTCTAACTGATTCTCAAAGTTTTCTTTTAACATTAGTATAGATTCCTGCATTTATCTGACTCAACTGGTTTAAACTTGCTATCAGTTTTAAACCCAAATTTACTGGAAAAGAAACCCGAGCGGCATGAGAAACAAGATAAAAACTCAAATAATTTTTTATTGAAGACCCATCCTAAGCTAACCTAGCACTACAAGCTGGATCGTCATGAGTTTTCAGTTTCACAACATATAAATCTTGAAAGACTCCCGCTAATATGTCCGTCTCGTAACAACCAGCGAGTCGGACCAATGACCAATGTAGGAATGACGACAGTCAGAAGGGCCTTGCCGGGGCATTACAAAACATGGCCACGCTGGAGGACTTCCCCTGTCAATACTACAATTGACTTGGTTTTAGCTAAAATAGCAACAATTTCCCTCTTAAAAAAGGAGCAAAAAGAAGCACTTTGCTCATTTGTAGATTGGAAACATCATTCACTGTTCGTATTGGCTGAAAGCATATTATGGAAGGCGGGTACTAGCTGGCATGTCACCCAATCAGCTCAAAGTATTGCACTAAACGTCCCTCCTTTTCACGGAAAGACTGATCAGCAGCCATACCAGGTTAATAATGTAGAACTTATCTCAGTTCTACACATATCCATCGAGCTACTGCCAGGTTAATCCTAAGCTACACATCCCCAAGATTGTAATTTATTGCCAGAAAATAGGAGTGAAGCTTTTTTTTCAGAGCACATAAACCTGAGTATCTACTGTATACAAATAGAAAAGCTACTTTTGCCTTCTAAGAACATTGCTGATGCAACATTCAGTAGGAAAATGACTGGGACTCGGGAATAAAGGATAGAGGATTATTTGAAATAATTTAGATCCGGATAGAAATCCTCTCATGGGTATTATAAAAACCTCTTTTCAGTACCACTAGAGTTTAAATTGTTCAAAATAAGGAATTAAAAAACTGTTAAGTATTGGTTATCTAGAATCACATAGTCCCCTGAATCTTTGGCTCAATAGATGTTATTTAAAATGCTTTGAAATCATTCAGATCCTGACTTAAAAAAAAATTAAAATGCTTTTAATAAGCTGTAAACAAATTTCTCTAGAATCTTATCTTGCTGTTAAACTTTATCCTACATTTCAATCCTCAAAAAATATAGTATTATGGTGAATAATTTCCAACTAGAGCAAAACTATGCTGTCTTTTTGCAGAGTGTGAATCTCTTTGGATATTTAAAGCCAAATTAGTAATTTACTTTTCTTTAGTCTACAACTCTTAAACTGTTCTTTAACAGAGGTAAAAATAACGAGTCAAACTAAAATTTGTGGATTGCAACATTATCAACTCTGCTTGGAGAGTTTAGTAAAAACATTCATAAACTCTTTAAGTATACCCCTTTAAAAATATTCATACCCCTTTAAAAAAAAAAGATTTAGTCTTATAAACCCCAACATTGACATTAAAAAAGTATTTATTCTTGTCTTTATTCTGTCAAAGTTGGGGTTTATAAGGAAGAGCAGCTCAAAGAATCACTTCAGGTTAAGTAAAAGAAAAAAGCATGTTTGGGAAGGACAGTAGTAATTAGAGAGACAGGTGTGCTGCCATTGGTAGCTTTAGAGGAGCTGCAGAGATCCACAATCCAAGTGGTAGAATCTGGCAACACAATTATAAATTGTGTACGCCACAAATAAATTCTCTCTTGTTGAAAGCTAGCCTTAAAATATATAGCTGTTCTACAAGCCATAACGGGACACAGCAAACAGATGAAGAAAAGTTGGATCAGTCCTGCAGGGAAAACCTGTTTGATGTTTCAAAGCCCTAAGACTGATGTGGTGGTTAACCTCCAGCAGACAAGGTGAGCCTAAACGTACAGTCACACCTAAGAGGTTAGATCAAAGAATGTTCAATACCTGAACAATAAATCTAACTGCAAGTCTGCAGCGAGACTTGAAAAATTCTTTCCAATCTGATGAAGTTTGAGCTGTTTGGCAATGAAGATTTGGCAAAAATCTCAGACTGTAGCTGGTAGACACATGCCCAAGAAACCTGATGGAGAAAGTGTTGCCTCCAAAGAGGCTTAACACTAATACCTGTCACTTTATTAGGTTTCAGGGAGGAAAAAAAAGGGAAAACTGTAATTTTCCTTCAGCTTCACAATTTTGTGGTATTTTCTCCTCATTTTTTAGATAAAACCCTATAAAATGCTTTGACTGTTTTTACAAAAAGGAGGAAAATCAGACATGGGCATAAAGTCTTATGTCTCCAAAATTGATATAGAAAAAACTTTAATTAGCATCAGAGATATTTATTGGTTAATGCATTGATAGACCAGTAAATAAAATAAAAAAAAGCCAAATTAAATGTCTCACCTAATTTTTTTTTTGGCTAACACTTTTTATTTCCACTCTCCAAAATGACTCTACTAATTAATGCTGCAGTTAACTTGAAGAAGCCTCTTATTTCCCAGCATCCCTGGTAAACCCAAACTGGCTCTCTTTTCAGTTTCTGCTGCACGTGTAAAAACAGCCATAAATTACGCTTTGACTTGACTTTGACCACTAGACTGATGCATTACAGTTTCTGTGAATGTTTTGGACGCGTTTTGCTCATTTCACGCCCAAGATGTTGACGTGCTTGATCTCACATGCCGACATAACAAGTTATTCCACACTAAAAGACTTTTTTATATTCTTGCCTTCACGTCTCTCTCTGGAGTCTCCTAAGCGACTGGATATGTTGGCAGCTTTCTTGTTTGGCCCAAATAGAAAATCAATCATTTAAATAACTGGAAAAAGGAGGTTCGGTTTTAACTCTAAGTAATTATTCACTCTGGCATCCCCATTATAATTATTTTTTCTCTCTTATGTTAAATTCGTGCATCTTGATGCATAATAAATTTCACTGGGAATAACGTTACATTGACAGCAGCTTCAGAAACAGTTGACTTATACATTTCCCCCCATGTACTACCTGCAGCTCTACTGTCTCACACTCTCTCAGCTGCTCTGTACTTTACCCCTGACCTACAGTATGAAGGCTATTAGAGGTAAGAGGAGGAGGAGCAGTGTGCTATTACAGGAAGAGTCGGATTGAAGATAACACATTTGATAACAACAGGTCTCGCACTCAAATTAGTTCCAGGAAACTGTACCTGCAATACAGGAGCCAAAATTTCCTAAAACCTAAATGCAGTTTTAATTTTATTTTTGTTTACCTTCTCCTCCTAGTTGAAATTCCTCCTCCTGCTGTTAAATGCAATGAAGCAGCTAACTGAAACCAGAAAATGAAGCTCATCACTTCATAACTCACGCTGAAGGCTGTTTCTGCGCTGAGGAAGCTGGATTCTTTAGTTTTGCTTTCTTCAACCATATTTTCCTCCTCTCTTTAAATTAAAAATGGATGTGGTCATTAATCACAGCTTTAGATTTTTCCACATGCTCCACCATCCCCGCTTTCTGTTTTACATTTTATATTTTTCTTTCAGATTTATCACTCCCCGATTCACAACCAGGCGGAAAGTAAGTGAGTCGTCCGTATCCTGAGAGCCAGGAGTCGAGATAAAATCTATATTTTTTTTTCTGGGAAATGACCTCATTTGTTGTTTGGGGTGTTTAATTTTTTTTTTTTTTTTTCTGTTGTTCTTTTCCCCACAGTGGAACTAAATGAAACCGGATTCAAGTTTGTGCAAATGTGCATCAACTACATTGAAATTAAAGGTAAAGGTATCTTACTCGCCTGTTGGGGGTGTAGTTGAGTCATCCACTGGCGGCACTAACAGCTGGTTTAAGGCTCATCTGAAACATGCTTCAGGTTGTAAAGCTTCTCACTCAGCAGATCCAGGGTTCCTACGCAGCCTGGAAAAATCTCAAATTTTATTGCAGTATTTTTTAGATCTGGATCAGAGTAGAAGAGATTTATCCTGTGTCCTACTGTCTAAATGTTGTTCTTCCGGACTCTTTTTTTTTTTTTCTTTTGTCATACCTTCTCCTTTTTTTCTGTCTATGTATCTTTAATCCTGGTTTTATCTGTCCTTTGGGTTGTACCCTCGCTTCTTTGCCTCCTCCTAGCCTAATGTCTTTTATTTTCTGACTTCTTCCTTCCTTCCCTATTCCTTAATGTCCTTCCTTCATTATTCCCTAATGTCCTCCATTTTCTGACTTCTTTCTTCCTTCCTTATTCCCTTTCATTATTCCCTAATGTCCTCCATTTTCTGACTTCTTCCTTCCTTCCCTATTCCTTAATGTCCTTCCTTCATTATTCCCTAATGTCCTCCATTTTCTGACTTCTTTCTTCCTTCCTTATTCCCTAATGTCCTTCCTTCATTATTCCCTAATGTCCTCCATTTTCTGACTTCTTTCTTCCTTCCTTATTCCCTAATGTCCTTCCTTCCTTATTCCCTAATGTCATTCCTTCCTTATTCCCTAATGTCCTCCATTTTCTGACTTC